ATTTCAGCCAGCAACAGCCTCAAGAGCTGCTGCACAACCACCGGGAATGTCTTCAGTTGGGCACGTGTAGTTTTGGTCCGCGGGGTCGAGCAGCGTACGCATTGCGCACAGAAACCAAGGTGCAGCGTCTCTGTAACATCGCTAACATATCCGGTACGCGGTGGCAGGCTTGCCGAGCACGAAATGAAGGGGGGGGTCGCATCTCACCATTCAACTAAGCATGCATGTGCTCGGTTGAATGCTCGGTAGCGTGCGAGTTTACCCCTATCAGGATGTTTGTTTGCATATCCCTCCAAGCGAGAGGGCTTGGACCTATGCTGATGTTCGTTCCAAAAAGTGAACTGAGGACTGATGCTACGGTGAAAGGTATGCACGTAAATTCGCCCGTGCGCCAATCTCACATTCCAATATGCCACTGCACTTTCCTCTCCAGCCTGGCCACATTCTCTTCCTCGCAAACGTACTTGGGCACCTTACAATCCAACACCATACGTGCTTTGGAAACGCAGGCAGCTGCTTCACAAGGACCCCCCTATTTCTTTATTTTAATGATGACTTGGTACAAGGAAAGCCTTACGGCTAATGAACATTCTTGTCACGATCTACGTAATTACATTGTAGTTTACATTGTAGTTTAATATAGTTAAACTATATTAAACTACATTCGCCTTACGGCAAATGATATTCCTTAGCTACCGCTTCCCCGAAGGGGACGCAATTTTAGCGTGGTATATAATATTAATACCACGCTTTTAATAGAAGCTTGAATTTATAAATTAAACTATTTTAGAAAAAATATTTTACGGAGAAATTAAAACTTTTAAAAAAATTAAAATATGACAGCAATCTTAGAACGTCGTGAAAATTCTAGCCTATGGGCTCGTTTTTGTGAGTGGATCACTTCAACTGAGAACCGCCTTTACATCGGTTGGTTCGGTGTAATCATGATCCCATGTCTTCTTACTGCAACATCAGTATTTATCATCGCTTTCATCGCTGCTCCGCCAGTAGACATCGATGGTATTCGTGAACCAGTTTCAGGTTCTCTTCTTTATGGTAACAACATCATCACAGGTGCTGTTGTTCCAACTTCTAACGCTATCGGCCTGCATTTCTACCCAATTTGGGAAGCTGCTTCTCTAGATGAGTGGTTGATGTTGATGTTGTTACAGGGTGGTTAAGCTTCACCAGTGGCCTCCTTCCCGAGGCAATTCCCTGCTCTCCCCTGCTAGAGGGGCACCCTAAGCCCTTCACCCCATCCGACTTCAGAGTGTACTCTTTGAGTTTGGCAACTCACCACCAGCATCCAACCAAATCTAGCGGATCAACGGCGCGTCAACTTAGTTCCTGGTCAGCTCGCGAGTTGATTTTATCACGTCCTACACCGTCCACAAGATGGGGGGCCACCTCCCATTTCATCACCTCTCAATCACCCCGAGAGGTCGGCAGGCGGATTTGAAACCGGACGCGCCGGGACGCGACGGGAGCAGAAGCCAGGCCTTAACCTCTGCCAGCCGCCTGCCTATTGTTGAGTGGTTATACAACGGTGGTCCTTACCAGCTTATCGTTTGCCACTTCCTTCTAGGTGTATACTAAGAAGATGAACCCCTTCGTTTTCTTCCCCAAAGGGGAACCCCTTCTTCCCCTATATATATTACCTAGACTGGCTGGTGCAGCTCGCATGAACCTTTATGATGAATGGTGGACGAACGAAGCATATGGCCGGTCATTTTTCCAACACCATTGCCTATAGCGCAACGAACAACTCTGCCTTGCTTGCGCGTTGTGTGCATGTCTCGCTGTCCCCTGAACCGCTTTCATGCAACCCTTACCGCTACATTCTGTACCCGTCGACGATGTATCGATTGAACCCTTTTCCGGCCTCATGCACGTGCTTGTTGTGCCCGTTGCCGCCATTCCGCCCTCTTTTATCAGGACATTTTCGGGCTCTTGATGCCGCGCTGCGCGGCTAGGTTCGGCGCCCGGCTTCACGTACTCGACCCACGATTGTTCCAGTCGGGCTGCTTCCCCCGCTGCGGCTGCGCCTTTAACGACAGCGACGTGACGCCCGAGCGCATGGGAGCTGCCGTAGATGGTGTGGCCCCAGTCAGGGATCATCTGTGCGATCCTGCAGAGTGGGGTTCCTGGTTTATGAGGCACTATGCCTGCTCCGGAAGCATCGAGAGAAAAGCCTACTTCATGAAGCAGTTCGAGAATGGGCTTCAGGATGGCAGCCTCGCAGACATTACGAAGACGTGGATAGATGACAAGGAGAAGGAGCAGGCGAAGGAGCAGGAGAAGGCGAAGGAGCAGGGGAAGGAGAAGGAGATTCAAAAGAATGCTAAGTGAGGCGTGCAGTAGTGGATAGGTCCTGGAGGGAGAGGCTGTGGGGACTGTGTGCGGCGTTGTGGGTTTGGAGAAGGTGGATTAACTTGTTGGCACATTAATCATTGTAGGATATTGAGGATTGGTGTGTTTTATCATATAATGATCTGCGGCCAGGCAGGCCCTGATTGGCGTCTCGCGCCGCTGATAGGTGTGTATGGTGGCAGATGGCATCAGAAAGACCATGCCGATATCAAGGTGTGGTGAGTCTGAGGTTCTTGCAGTAGCACATCTGGAGTCTTTTGACTTCAAATGATGTGCTGCGCGTTTGCCGCGTCTGACCCCAGGGCGCGAGTCAATCAGTCGATGGTAATTGTAGCTCGGGAATGGATATATCATTCCACGCCAACTTGTGTGGAATAGACATGTAGGCTTCACTATGGATGACAGGAGTGCAGAGGAAGCCTGAATCATCTGTCAGGGTTTTGGCCGTACCCATCAGGTCTGTGTGGGGAAGGGCTGCCGCAGGAAAGAAATCAGGCATTCGAGGTCTATACATTCGAGAACGAGAGAACTGTCCACCTGTTTTTCGTGAGATGCCACGAGTGCGTTCGTGTGAATGGATTTTTACTATCCGCCGGATAGCCGGACTGGCGCTCCTGTGCGCCTTTTCTTTCATGGGATTGTGTCACGGAAAAGATTTTTACCATTCATGGTTATTACAGTGATCAGTTTTTCCTCTTCATTATGCATAATGCCGGGTTTTTAAGTTGTCTCTTAGGGCTTTATTGGTGCCTTGTTTTACGGTATGGCCTGTGCTGGACAAGCATGCAAGCTCGCCCAATTCTTTCCAAGTCATGTTAGGATAGCCGATTTCCTCAAAAGGTTGCATGGGCAAATTGAAATTTCCTGCGGCAGGTGCAGATGTTCTCGAAAACGCCTATTGCTCGCGACGGAAGAGTCTCGGCTGCTAAGGCCTTTTGTAAACAGTCGGCCTCGCCAGCACTTTCAAATTCGCTATGGGACTCCATCAAGCTATTTGGCTGTGCCAACCGGCCTCCATCCAACGCCGGGCGCGGGCTCCTGCTTACACTCCTGCGCGACGGATTCCCCTCTACTGCAGTTCCAGCAGCACAGCTCAGCGGCTGTCTCTGGGAATACGAATGGCAGCGTGCATACGGACAATGTGGAGTGCGTGGTCATAGGCGCAGGTATGCCCCCAGCTGGCATACTCCCTATCGGACACCTACAGCCCCCTCAGTATCCCCTTCTTTGGCCCTTCTCCTTTCTTTCACTCGCTCAATGGTGTCCTCTGACCCGCTTTGGCGCTACGGCTATGGCCTCTGCGCTGCACGCCGATGATGTTCCTCCAATTGGCGACACGCCTGTCTGTCCGCCTGTCTTGCTGGCTGGTTGGCGGTTCGCGGGCGGCGGCATCGGTTCAGGGGTCATCGGTCTAGCAATTGCTCGTGCACTGGCGCGGCGTGGTCGTGAGGTGGTGGTAGTGGAGGCCGCAGGGGCCATCGGCACGGAGACCAGCTCCCGGCACAGCGAGGGTGCGTGCTAGGGTGCTCAGAGGGACAGGGACCTCCAGACGCCGGGGTTTGTGTTTTCTCATATGCAGTTTACTCTTTGGACCGGCTGGTGTTGGGGGCGGGATGGACTTGGCTGCGGCTGGGTCATTGGACGAGCTGTCCGTCCTGGGTGATTGTGAAGCACTGCCACGATGTCGCGGCAAGGGCACATCCCCGGGGCCGCCCATTGGCGGTCTGCCGGGTGATCCTTCAGTGCACGGCTCACACGCATCACAGGCTTACAGGCCACATCATCCAATCAAAAGCCCATGTAAGAGCCTGCTAGGCTATCTAATAACCAAGTCCAACATGGACGAAAAACAAAGATCTACGTGTCCAGAATTAAAAGATCTACATGATGATATAAGTCTCGTTTCGCGCTTTTGAGTTCTGAGCTGATTACGCTTCGGTTTTAGGTGCACGGCTTACATGAATCAGGCTTACAGCACCCTCCTCACAAATCCTCCACATGTGCTGTCCCACACGTGTATCCAACCGCCTACATTATGCCTTATCGAATTCTGGATTATTTACTCAACTGGTCTCTCCTCTTGACTCCGCCCTCTCCAAAGTTGCGCATCTATTGTCCTGGGAGAGCGCAATGCGCGCAAAGGGAAATCGTAATTAGATCGTCTCTGTTCCTTCGGGGGGTGGAGAGGAGAAGACACGGGGCAAGCTGCCATTAACATGGTGGTTAGGGGAACGGTGGAGTAACATCTATTGAAGGATTGAACCCACTAATGTTGAAAATTTTGGGGAACAGCTATGCGGGGCGAACCCTTTCATCCATTCCTCCATCCTTGTTACTCGCCCGCCTTGATTCTCTTCATTTTCATTCCGGTGTTCCGTCATTTTTTCACCACCGGCACAGTCATCCACGCGGGCATCTACTACCCTCACGGCAGCCTCAAAGCGCGCATGTGTGTGGAGGGCAAGGCACGACTGTACGACTTCTGCCGTACGCACAACGTGCCGTACAAGAACATCACCAAGCTGATCGTTGCCACCACAAAAGAGTGAGCGGCGGCTTTTGTTTGCCGTGGAGGGAGCTGCGCATGTGCTGTTATTTCACTCGCTAAACACACTCTCATATCTCATGCGTCGAATTTGTTGCAAATTCGACGCATGAGATATGAGAGTGTGTCTGAAGGAGGCGAGATGAAAGGGGGCCGTTACAAGGAGGAGACGGCAAAGGGATATCAAAGTTATGTCGAGAATATACTGCTCATTAGCCGACAATCGCCACCCTGCCTGCTGCGCTGTTGCCATCTCTGCTGCTGCTGCTCCTGCTGCTGCTCCTGTCCTGTTAACGGTGCGGTAGGCAGCTGCCGGAGCTGGTTTCCTTCCAGGCTACTGCTGCGCGCCACGGAGTACCCGACTTACAGCCCCTTAGCGGTGCGGAGGCCCGGGGCCTGGAACCCGCACTGGCGTGCCAAGGGGCGCTGTTGTCCCCCTCCACCGGCATCCTGGACAGTCACACGTAGGTCGCATGGCACGAGTTGGCCCCATGGCGCGGTGGGCACCCACGATTTGATTTTTGCTGCAACCTCGATTCCCGAGTGCGGACCCCGGGGGCCGAGACGGTCATGAGCAAGCCAGAGCGCGACGACTGAAGACGCCAGGCTCAGGGACTTGTTAAAGTTAAAAACCACCCTGGCCACAAAACAACTGGACCGCTGTGGGGTTCTTGTCCTTTGCTGAATGCACGTCCTCGACATGTGCGGGTCAAGGGTTTTCTGCAGAGACTCCGTTTACAAGACGGAGGAGGGGAGGGGCACACACTGACAAAGAACAACAACAAGAAACGGCCCCGAAACAAACAGCCGCGAAAATGCCCGTCCACTGCTGCCTGCACGGCCCCCAGCGCGACGATAACCTCCGAAAGGTGCAAGCACGCACAGAAAGAAGCACGTATCCGCCTTGCCCAAGCCTGAACTACCCTGCTCCAGGACCAATGACGCTCGTCCGTTGTATATCGCAGAAAATCTCGGATTTCCTGGCAAGCTCGCATAAACGTATCGTTATCGTCTTAAGTTAAGAGTCTCGACTTTAAAACCCGAACAAGCATGGCAACCCGTCAGATACACAACATCCAATACCCTACACAACGCAACACCACGTGGCACCACGTAGCGCGCAAACCCGGCACACGCCTCCTCTCCCCCCCGCTCCCGGTCCAGTTACATGGCGGCGCTGCTAGCGGACGCTGAATCGCACGGAGCTGTCCTGGCGCTCAACACACGAGTGGTGGGGGGTTGGCTGGAGCAGACCCCGCACACAACCGCACCCAGCACACCCCCATCACCGCCCTCTACCACCACTGCCACTGCCGCTGGCACCACCGCTGCCCCGATGGCGGCACCTGCCACCGCCGCGCCCGTGCCCGTGCCGTATAAAATCCTGGAGATGCACAGCCTGCCGTCTGCTGGCGCCGAAGGCGGTGGCGCCGGCTGGGGGCCTTTTTCCGCCAGCAGCTCCAGCGCTAGCGCTAGCGCTAGCAGCAGCAGCAGCAGCAGTAGTAGCAGTAGTCCTTCCCGGGGGGTGGTGGCGGCGGCGGCGGGCCGTGTCCCCGTTGAGATTAGCCGGTTGCGGGCACGCTGGGTGGTGAATGCGGCGGGTCTGCATGCTATGCGGGTGGCAGCTAGCATCGCTGGACTGCCCCGGAGTTCCATCCCTCAGCTACATCTGGCCAAGGTTGGGGGAAGGGCCTGTCGTCCTGGGAGCTTCTGAGGGGTGCTGCAGGGGGAGTGTGGATTTCGAGTGAAAAGGGCTGAGCATGAATCTTAGTTGCACGAGTGAATGTCTATTTCATTGGGACCAAGCGGAGAGGCACTTAGCGGTGTGGGATGTGGCGAAGGTCAGAGAGAAAGGGTGTTGGCGGGTGATGGTGTTTGGGGGAGCCACGCGAGACGTCGCACCATCAAGGGGGGAGCTGGGGTACATAGACCGGCGTGGTTCCCAACCCCCCCTTGTAGGCTTGGTGTCCTGGCTCCACTCCCACACGCCCCCGAACCTCACCGCTACAAGGGGGCCCCTCCCTCCCCCCCCCCCCACACACACACGGCTTTCCGCCCTGAACCCCTCGCCACCGCTCACGCAGGGTAACTACTTTTCGCTGTCGGTCCGCGCTCCCTTCAGCCGCCTCATCTACCCCATGCCGGAGCGCGGCCTGGCGGGGCTCGGCACGCACCTCACTTTGGACATGGCTGGCGGGGTGCGGTTCGGTCCGGACGTGGAGTGGCTGCCGGGACCGGGAATCGAACCGGGGTCGCCGGTGGTGGTGGATTACAGGGTGAGGGCATTAGCGGGGCAAAGTTTTGTGGAAGGATTTGCTCTAACGCTCTGGACGCTTTTGATTTGGTAGGCTGGGGGGAAGTGTTGGAGCGGGGGTTTAGGAGGCTTGTTTTGAGCGCACGTGTGGATCCATGTGAAGATGTTGATGGCATGGCGATAGGTAAGCCTGGAACTGGGCCGTGAACGAGAGAGAGGAGGAGAGGGGCGCAATTTTGGGGTCCTGCCTGATTACGGAAGAGCTTCAGCTTACCATAGCAGCTATGCGTCCGATGCCCTAGACGGCTGGGAGGAGGGGTAGGAACGGGGTTTTGCACGTGAGCGCGTGAGGGGTACAGTCGCCAGCATGAGGGGCACCCGAAAGCAATGATCGCTTTCATCACGACTGCATGTAGAAATACCAATGAATGAATGGATGGATGGATGAATGCCGCAAGGTGTTGGCCACCAGGATCATTTATTAGCAAGGTGTGCAGTCGTTTGTATTATTCATTTCACGCCTGTTTTGTGGCCCCGTAATTTACCACTTACGCCGTCCGGTCTATTTTTTGCGTTGCTTGCTTTTTCAGGTGGACCCTGGACGAGCGCAGTCCTTCTATCCGGCCATTCGACGTTACTACCCCGCCCTGCCAGACGGCGCACTGCAGCCCGCGTACAGCGGTGTACGGCCGAAACTGTCGGGGCCTGGCGAGCCGCCTGCGGATTTCTTGGTGCAGGGCGCTCGTGAGGGGCATGGTGTGCGAGGTTGGGTCAACCTGTATGGCATAGAGTCGCCGGGGCTGACTTCGTCCTTGGCGCTTGCGGAGTATCTATGCGATATGCTGGAAAGGTCTTAGCAAGATTGAGGGCCAAGGGTGTTAGCTAGGAGTGAGGGGACCGGGGAGATTCGGTTGGTTGGACGGCCACATTTCAAGGGACACGGTTTGCTGTGGGGTTGGTGAGGGTCCGCGGATGGCCGCGAGGACATGACCCTGTTAATCGAAAAACCCTAATCTTGAATGCTTCTCAAGTGTCTGTAATTGAGACGAGAGCGTTTTTCAGTTAGGATCGCAGTGGTACTCGCAATTAAAAGACATCACGTTAGTTGGAACAATTGTTCAGCCTACGTACAGTAAAGGCCTTATGCAAATGAGCGATGCTCATCGATGCTTCTATCTTTGCTTGTGATTGAACACCGAAGAACACTCCGTCATAGTCCTTGCGAAGAGTCCGTGTGAACTGCTTTCCCGCTGGAGTCGCTGGCCTTGGGTACGTTGCTTGCAACATGACTCCATCGCCTGCATCGTGGCTTCCTGCTTCGTTGAGGTTTTGCCACCTGGTCATTCTTTCATGTGCAAGTCGTTTCTAAACTGAGCTAAAGCCCCTGTTCTTGGCCGAAGATTGCGCTGACAACACGGTCTCAAGAAAGCAGCCAGAGGTCTAGATTTTACACAGATTCTTCCATAAACCCTTGCGCTTGTCGTCGTGGCACGTGATCAGTACACATTTATGTCATCGGCGATGGCTGCCATACTGCGATGCAGGCTGGAGCACCGGCGCTGAAGAAGGCCCATCAGGAAACATGGCGCGCGTGCGCTGTGTGTAGCTCGTGCTCACGGGAGCGTCTGCATAGAGCAGCGCGCTAGCAGTTCGCGTCACCTCGCAGTGCCGGCTGCACCTGCCGGTTCCCTGGCCCGCCTGCCGGCCCGTCTCGTCGTCCTCTTCGACCTGATGTTGCCAGCTCCCGGAACCCTTCATACGCCCTCCATGGGCTGCGGTGGCGCTGCTTGCGCCTCCACCCGGCTGGCATGTGCTGCGGGCCCCGCATCCACACCGCGTGCCCCACGGCAGATCACCACGCCAGCGCCCTGCGCAGCCGCGCCTGTTTCCCCCTCACAGCACTCCCAGCATAGCCTCCTCCAGAGCTCCTGTCTAGACTACGCGCCCGGGAAATGTATCCCAGGCCTGACCACAATTGGCAGCTGCGGGTCCCGTCTGCGGACCTCAGTCCGTGCAGCTGCGGTGAGGCATTTTGTCGACGCTGCGGCATTCCCCGCCTCTTGGTCCCCTACGCTCTCGTTGACCTCTACGAGTCACGAAGACCTCGAGGCAGACAGCGCAGCCCCGTGGGGAGCGCACCTCGCATTCCGTGGTCTGGCGCCGCGCCGCAACTGTAGACATAATAGCGGTACTGGCGGTGGCCATGCCAGCAGCCAGGGACTGTGGGCGCGGCGATGCGGTGCTGCTGTGTGTGCGGCGTCTACGTCAGCTGCTGCGTCTGCGTCTGCCGTGTCGCCACTGACCGCGGCGGCGGCGGCGGTAGCGCCACTGTCGTCCCTTGGGTGCCGCTACCGCCAGCTCTGCACGCAGGTCAACGCGGCCGGATCGGGGTCAGCGCAATCGGGCCAGGCGTCGAAGAAGAAGCCGCAGAAGCAGCCACAGCAACAGCAACAGCAGGCGCAAAAGCAGCCTGCAGCGGCGGGCTCAGGGGCTGTGGCCGATGCGCCTGCCGCCCCCGCGCTGCCTCCGCCGCCGCAGCCAGCCAGCGCAGCCCGCTATTCCCCGCTCCACTACAACATTGAAGATTTCTGCACCAAGGTCGTCCCAACAGAGGGCGAGAAGCGGCAGCGTATGGAGGTCATCGACGCGTGAGTCCGCGGTGCGCGTCCGCGAAATCACATTGGTCCCTTCCCATCTCCTGGCGGAGGCGTATCCCCCCCCCAGCGACAGGGTCGACCACACGTGCGGTCGTAGCATGGCCGGGGGACATGCTTGCGCGGACATTTCCCATAGTACCTTTTTACTGTAAGCGTCCTTCCTGGTGTCGCATTCCCCGCCGGCCCGACCCCCAGCCCCACTGCGCCCTCGCCCTCGCAGCATTCGCGCCGGTGTGCGCAAGGTCTGGCCCAACTCCCGGCAGGTGGAGCTTCAGGTGTTTGGCAGCTTTGCGAATGGGCTGTCCACTTGGAGCAGCGATTTGGATCTGGTGGTTACCGGAGTGATGGAGCCGGATAGGGTGTCGGGAGGTGAGGGGCTCGTAAGGGTTGTGGGGATAGCGAAGGGGACGAACGTGGGACGTGGGAACAAGTGGGTCCTGGATTTGGACGGGAAGAGACGGGAAGACGTGTCAGGTGCGACGGGCCGGGCAGGGCGAGAGGACCCGGATAGCGCGGGAACCACGATGTATGTGGACCAGGGCTTGGGGAAGGGGGCTCAGGAGGCGGCTGCGGCTTGTTGGGGAAAGCGAAGACCGTTAGAGGAAAGCGGGGGAGGCGCAGAACTAGGTACTTAAGTGCGCTGGAACGGCTGATTAAGTTTGCTGGATAGGGACATTTCCGCGTAACGGAAATGAATCTTTTCATGAACCCGTGAGATGGTGTGGCAAAATACGTGCATATCTGGGCTCTCGATCCTTTCCGAGTCCTCTGTAGTGTTCTCCGAATCATCCCTCCCCGTGTGTTGCGAGCCTCCTCCTGCGACCCCCTGACTGCTCTCAGGATACGAACTCGCGGACCGTGCCAAGATCACAGCCCGGCTGCGAAAGATTGCTGACGCGCTCAATCGCGCCAAAAATATTGACATCCTCCGTCAGCAGCTCATACCTCGCGCCAGAATACCTATTCTCAAGGTAAGGAGCGGATTGGGGGGCCGCTCCTAAGGCCACCATGATTCGCACAGCTTGCACCTTTTCCCCTTGTTGCGACTCGCGACGGCCTTGCGTTTCTATGGTGCTTGTGTCCGTGCTTGTGTCTATCCTCATGCTGCGAACCCTGCATCCCTGCGGCGGCATGTGCATGTGGTATGAGCGGCCACCTCCCGCACATGGCACCGCCTAGCTGTCTTACGGCCTTGTTCTGCCGTCCGCCTTTCCGCGGTGCGGCTGCCCGCTTTCCTCCTCCCTGCCCCACAGTTGTGGACCAAGAGCCGCGTGTGTGTGGATGTGAGTGTCAGTGACGACAGCGGTCCGCGGGCGGCGCGGTACATGGTGCAGCAATGCAGGGCCTTCCCGCCGGTGAAGCCGCTGGTGGGTGGGGGTGATAGTGAGAGTGAGGGCGGTAGGATAGGTGGCTAGGTGATCAGCCGGGGAGGGGCTTGTAGGTGGCGGGTGGGGCTGGAGGCCCTGCTGGGTGACTGGGTTGGGTGCTGGCGAGCTGGGCGGGCGTGGGCTGGGCAGCTGCAGGTGGGCCCGGGTGCCGAGGGGTAGGGGGCTAGGGGGGCGTGTGGGAGAAGCGAAGGTGCGGAAAGGGAACAATTTTCCCTTTCTCTCTGGGATTCAGGCGCTTCCAAAAGTTGTTATAGGTGTTCTGGCCACGTGGCCTGTGCTCAGCTCAGCTCATGTCATGATGTGATGTTATGTGATGCAGCGCGCGACGTTTACTCGTGTTGTCCGTCCGATTCGGCAGGTTCTGGTGGTGAAGACGTACTTGAAGGCCTGCCGTCTGAACGAGGTCAACACCGGCGGGCTGTCCAGCTACAGCCTCACCAACATGGTCATTGCACACCTGCAGGAGGAACTCAAGGTGCGAAGAGGGGCTGTGCGGGGATATGCCCTTGCGCCAACCGGTGTGCATATGGATGGATGAATAGATGGATGGTGCGTGTGTGGCTGTGGTGTCGTGTACATAGATGCATGGAGGCATGTGAGCGCATGCGGCTGCACAAGCTGTGCGCGCGCTCTCTGTTGAATATAGCTGCAATATAACTCAGCACGTGATCCTCTTTTACCTCCATCATTGCCGCCGCGGCTGCCGCCGCCGCCGCCGCCTTTCCCCCGTTTTCCCACCGCGCAGTCCGGTCATGATATCAGCGACCTGGGCGAGACGCTCTACACCTTCCTTTTGCGCTACGGGGAGGAGCACGACTACGGCGCACAGGCGGTAAATCCAGACGGATTTACCCCTGTTCATACGCCCATTGCCTCTCCCTATGCCATCCTGCGCACGGATTGTCTTTATTCCTTGCATGCTTAATTCCGATTCCCCCGGCCTCCCCCACTCCTCCGGGCTTCCTGGTTAGCTGGCGCAGCGCTGCACCGACTCCGTGACATGTCGGGGTGCTGTCGGGTGCTGGTCCTGCGCGCAGGTGTCTGTGGGTAGCGGCGGCATCGTGCCCAAGATGTCCCTGGGCTATGCCATGGAGTCCGCCCGCCAGGCCGCTGTCTCCATGAGCTCGTATGATGGCGCCGTGAGCTGGAATGAGCGGCTGTTTGTGGACTGCCCGCTCACAGGTGGGTCGGTGAGCATGTTGGAAGTAGCATGTTGGAGTAGTAGTAGTAGTAGTAGTAGGAGGAGGAGGAGGTGGTGGTGGAGGAGGAGGAGGAGGTCTCCCTAAGTCGGATTATAGCGAGTAATTGAGCCCGCATGCTGATAGACCTTTCATTCTACTGTATGTAGTCTATGCACATCTTGATTGTTGTTGTCATTAAGGAGGAGGTCGGCTCACGAAGCGCATGTGCATCCTTCCCTTTTCAGACCAAAAAACGCCCCGCGCGCCACTGCCTCCTGTCTGTGCCCTTTTGCTGCGTGCGTGCATGCGTGCGTGTGCTGCGCCCTCGACATTGTGGCAGGTCGCGATGTGAGCAACGGCACCTACCGCATCGACCTGGTGAAGGGCGCCTTCCAGCAGGCTGCTCGCCGCCTGGAGGCCATGGCGCAGGGCCGGCGAATCACCGATACATCCATCAACTATCTGCAGGTGCGAAAACGCACCTTGTTGGCTAGTAGGACCTGGTGGTGGGACCTGGTGCATATGTGGAACCGCGTAAACCGGTATTGGGGACCGGGGACCAGGACCCACTGGTCTTTCCGTTCGTTCCTGTGGTATGGAATTGTAACGGGGTGGTGGCGACTTGGCTAGGTGGCTCTTAGCGTCCCCTTCCCCGGAAGTCCAGACTTCTGAAGCTCTGAAGGCTGTGTCCCGGCATGTAACTCCTCCCCCCTTTCCCGCTTTCTCATTCGTGGTTCGCATGTAACTCCCCCTTTTCCCCCAGGCTTTGTTTGACGTCAGCCGTGTGTTGAAGCGCTCGTACCCTGACCCGCAAGAGCCGTACGAGGACGAGTACCTCAAAGTCATCGGGCGCAATGGAGACGAGGAGGTGGGCTGTGTGGGGGGAAGGATAGGGCTTGAGAGTGAGGGGCCAGGTCGGTGGAGTACAGTAGGGGACCGTGTTTCGCCCCGGTGCGGCGCGAACAGTAGGGCAAGGCAGGGTGGACGACGTGGGATTGCTTTCCGTCGTAGCTGCTAACCCCCCTTGAGACCCTTCTGATCTCCGGTTTTACATTTTTTGGGGCACACGGTTGCCCACCCACGACAATAAGGCTGACTAGGCGCGCGACCTTCCTCCTGCTCCGTCGCCAACCCTGTCCCTCCCGACCCCGGCTCACGCCCCTCCCCCCCCTGTTGCCGGTTGACACAACCGCTCTCAGGAGCGCGAGGAGCTCGCCGTGGGTGGCGGCACCGACACAGACGTGGACGGGGATCGGTACGGCAATGAGGACGGCGATGACCTGGACGGGGATTACCTGGAACGCAGTCCCACCACTGCCGGAGCACAACACAGGCGGTGAATAGCCGGGTGTACGTATGTATGTGCGTATCGTGGTAGGGAACGTCGCCTACGTCACGGTACATTTGCGCGCGGGAAGAGGCCAAGGAGGCCAAGGCAGCAGGTGGAGTGCGTTAAGGACGTGCGACCCGTAAAGGGGACAGACAAGGAAAGTAGCTGGAAGCTGTGAGCGCTAACATTACGTCGGGGCAGGCCCACGGCAGGAGGCGGACTGGGAGCAGAAGTGTAGGGGCGTAACAGGCAGCAACGGCAGGAGCAGGGACGAAAGCAGTGGCGATGGAAGGAGGAACGGGACCCCGGGCTTCCAGTCGTCTCTCTACACAGGGCTGAGAGGTCAAAGTTGATCCCAGATTTCCTGTGCTCTTTGGCTTTTCTTGAATTGGGCCTGGGCCTGGGACTGTCGGCCTGCGTATCGCGATACAGCGAGCGGGGTAGACTGCAAGAATGGAGAAAACTGGCATCACGGCTTGCAGGGGGCTGCGATTCGGCAGCGCAGTGGTCCTGCACATCCGTGGGAACCTGTGTAATTGCGGTGCGGGTGGGATACAGCTCCCCGGTTTGCTTGTATGGGTTGGCAGCCTGTCCGCAAGAGTTGCCGTGGGGACACATTAGGAGAGCGCACATGGTGGACATGGCTAGGAGGCGCCTGCAGCTTGGTGGCGATGGTGGTGTGTGGTGTGGTGGTCAGTTTCAGAATTACCATCACTGAGGTTGTGGTCAGTTTATTAATGAACGCGTGGTGCAGAATGAGGCTGGGCGGCTGGATTGACGCCGCGTCTTCCATCCTGGTTTTTCTACTTCGTTGCAGTTGAGGACAGTTCGTAGCGAGGGTGCATTTGTAAGTGTGTCACGGGGGGCCGCCGCCGGTGGCTGCAGCTGATGCTGCGATCAAGTTCTAGGGTAAAGGCAGCAAGAGTGCAGGACAGCGGGGAAGGAGTTTGTGTTGCTGCAAAAGTATCGCTTGCGTTCTTGAGTTCTGACGTAGGCCCAATTTTGAACAACGGGTGAGTTACCGCCGACAGGTAACCCACCATACGTGAGGCGCATCCCTTAAGCGTTCCATAAACCCTGGTTTGGGGCTGCAGCCCCTACAATGGCTGATGTTCAGGATCCAGGGAGTCAAAACAATTGGTATATCACTGTGTATTGCAAATGAGCAGGTTGCGCGGGCAGATTCTGAAATATACGATGCAGTGCCGTGCGGAAAGGCTATGCCGCTGGCTAGGTTCCAGTGGTTTGATGTTGCCGTCTGTTGCTGTGGCTTGTCAGCAGACGCGTGAAGCC